CAAAGGTTGCCGGTTAGATTCCACCTTTCGGCAGCACGACGGTTGAAACAATGGATAATATATTATTATTTTTTTCCACTGCCTCTGTCCACCCAGCAGTATGAATGAGTGCACCACTGTAAGTCGATCAACAGGCAGCCTGTGCATAACTGTGTGACGCAGGTTAATCTGGTAAGCGTGGAAGAGTAGACCAAATACCCCTTGGAGCTCCATTTTAGTCGAGGACCTTCTGCCAGGAGAGTCGTGAGACAAAAAAGCAATTTCAAGACCACACCTTTACACCCCCCCCCCCCCCCCCCCCGTACCACTGCAGCGACGACAGTGACACGGTACACATGACGCAGCGTTGACCTTTGACACTCCCGGGTGAGAGCGCCAGTCGCTTTACTGCCGTGCACCCGGTGCACGTCGGGCGTTTTGTTTAATGTTTATCCGAGGCTTATGGCCCTTCAATGGTTAAGACAAACCACACGCGGCCCAATGGCCCCAACGTGGCAGTTTGCAGGATGTTAAGCCCACGGACACCTCCTTGAAGTGGCCTGGTGGCTGAGCGGTCAGGGCACTGAGCTGACCTCGTTGAGGGCGGAAGGTTCGAATCCGGGCAGACAGCTGTCGTTCAACTGGGATCTCAAGTATAAAGAGTGGACGATCTTAGCCCCGTCAATCACGGGCCGCTCAGAAGTTGCTTTTATGCTTAATTTGGCGAAATGTCAGTTCCGTGACGTAAGAATTACAGTTTTTATTAACGGGATAAACACTTTTTGCAGGACACATAAAAGCCATTTATATCCCTTTTGTGGGTGATTTTTCTGCTCTCCCCATGACATAATATCTAGATGCTATGTCTTCTAGATGATGTCATGGGGAGAGCAGAAAAATAACCCACACAAGGGATATCAATGGCTTTTATACGTCCTGCAAAGACTGTCTATCCCGTTGATAAAATGTCGGGCGAGGTCTGCTGCAGGCTACGAGAGGGCTTCGGGAGGGAGAGTTTGTGGACGCTTGTTGTTTCTCTTCAACGGGAGGGTGGTGCAGACCCCCACTGGTTTACCATTTGGTCCACCGTGTGCGAGACGTTTAGCCTTCTCGCGGGCCACCTGTCACGCGCTTTCACGTTGCCTTCAACACGACGAGGCGTTGCACGTCTCGCATGCGTCCCGACAGGCAGGGGCAGGCTGCGGCTTTCGGACGTTTGACAACGATATCGCGTTCGTACGAGAACGGGCACGCGCTTTGCCATGGCGACTGCCCTTCCTGTGCCTCTGCATGATCACGTGAAACTTGTGCGCAAATGCTCGATCGAGCCGGTCGTTTGTCCAGAGTTGTCGATCTAGCCCATGGGGTCAGGAAACTAAAATAACAAGGAGAGACGTTTAAACAACTTTTTTTTTCTTCCAAGGGCTGCAATGGAATTAGTGTAAATACAAGACGGGTGGTGGCCCTGAATAGATAAGTGCCCAATTACTACTCCCCATACAACAGCCCCCATATATGAAAACATAAGAATAGGTTTTAGCCTTTCTGGCAATAAAACAGGTGTTAAAATCAATGAGAAACCTTTTGCAAAGAATAAAGTCCGCATTAACCACACACAGCACCTGTGGTGAACATGCAAACAAACATGCTCTGATAACACATGGCGTTGTCCTTTGAAACCGATTGGCCTACACCAGAAACGGCCTACTTTAAGGGCCCAGTCTCACCAGTGTCAGCCCAGAGAGCGCCTGGTTTCAACCTCTCCAGGAAGGAAGTCATCCACCCTCAACAGGTTCAGGTCACGGGCCATGCATCGCCAACCTCCACCGATGGGGGCATGGAGAGCGAGCCCCACTGTGCCTGCGCGGTGGAGCAAACCGTTGTCAACCACATCCTAGAAGCCTGCCCAATCCACCACCAAACACAGCAGGGCCCGGAAGCAACCGCCTGGCTTAGGGACTTGGCATTGCGCGAAACAATGAAAAGAGCTAACGTCACGGAGAAGTCCTGAAAAGAGCGGCGTGCATGCGCAGGTCACCTGGTGAACCCCAGGCCGAGCCACGCCGCGTGCTATAAAGCGGCAGTGGTCGATCTGGGTAAGGAATTATTTACCCAGGAAACAAATAGGGGCCACACACTACTTTATAGCAGTGGCTCTTAGAACTTTCATACTGCAGCCTTGCACCCCCCCCCCCCCCCTTTGGCTCTCAAACGGAATTATTTTATGTTAATAAATACACAGGGGTTTTTAACGCGTAGGCTTTCGCGACCAATATCATTCATAGCAGGTTTTTTTTTTGGGTTAGCTCGCGTAAATATATAAAATTTGTATGTCGGGTGGTGGCGGGTTTAACGACACATTTATATATTTACGCGATCTAACCCAAAAAAACCCTGTATTATGGACATAGGGATTTGATGCAACAAAGTTGTAACTTACGTTTCCCGCGCTTAAGTTGTGTTTTCGATTATTTACCTTCGAAAAATAAAAACAAATCTGCCCATGTCTCGCTCCCCCCCCCCGCCCCAGAAAGGGCATCTCGCACCCCCAGGGGGTGGCTGGCGTGCACCCCGGGTTAAGAACCCCACTGCTTTAGAGTAAACGCACACGAGCCACGAATTCATTTCCCGTCACACAGTTAAAGCCGTCCGTCCCCGCTGCTCGGCAGCTTGCAAGCCAGCCAGCGAGCGAGCGCTCTGCTGCTGAAGGCACGCACAGCGGACTTCATCATCCATCCCCTTCTCTTCAAACGCACGAGACACAAACCCCGCTGGCATCGTTTGTGTCCAGAAATGTATTTCCTTGAAAACTTCAGGGCGTAGGCTAACCGTTATCGAACGCTGGTTGAACCATATGCCGATGGACAGAAAGTTTTTTTTTTTAAATATATATTCCGCAAACGCGTTGCACAAACCGGAACAAAATGAGCTGGGGGGGGGGGGGGGTGGTAATGCGAGCAAACATCAGAACTGGGGAGACAAAGGCGACCGGGTGGTATTCTGGGCACACCGCCCTTCTCGTACACCACAAATCAACTTGCATACAAACAGGGCCGTCCATCGGCGGCGGGGGGTGTGGGGGGTCCCCCCCCCCCCCAAAGTGCGGGACCCGGGGCTGTCGCCCCGAATCGCCGGCACCCTAGGGTTGGCTCCACATTACAAACTAAACGAGAAACTTTTGTTTTAATCTTACCGGGTAAAGCAGAAGCTACCTGGTTGTCATCACAAGACGATAAGCTCCACAAAGTGGCTCAACATCGCGTGGCAATTGCATAGCAAGCAGCCAAATTCGCCAGACACGCGTGACGTTGATTCTAAATGTGGAAGAGGGTGGGGGGGGAAGCGGAGGACCCGGAGGAAAATCCACGCGACCACGGGGAGAGAGACACGGGGAGAGAGACACGGGAAGAGACACGGGGAGAGACACGGAGAGAGACACGGGAAGAGACACGGGGAGAGACACAGAGACACGGAGACACGGGGAGAGACACGGGGAGAGACACGGAGAGAGACACGGGAGGAGACACGGAGTGAGACACGGGTGGAGACACGGGTGGAGACACGGCGAGAGACACGGGGAGAGACACGGGGGGAGACACGGGGGGAGACACGGGGAGAGACACGGGGGGAGACACGGGGAGAGACACGGGGGGAGACACGGGGGGAGACACGGGGAGAGACACGAGGGGAGACACGAGGGGAGACACGGAGAGAAACACGGAGAGAAACACGGAGAGAGACACGGTGAGAGACACGGAGAGAGGCACGGAGAGAGACACGGAGAGACACGGGGAGAGACACGGAGAGAGACACGGGTGGAGACACGGAGAGACACGGGGAGAGACACGGAGAGAGACACGGAGGGAGACACGGGGGGAGACACGGGGGGAGACACGGGTGGAGACACGGAGAGAGACACGGGGAGAGACACGGGTGGAGACACGGGTGGAGACACGGAGAGAGACACGGAGAGAGACACGGAGAGAGACACGGCGAGAGACACGGCGAGAGACACGGAGAAAGACACGGAGAGAGACACGCACACTCAAAATGTACAATATGGGGCCTTTCTTGCCAACATATCAACATAAAACAACACGTTTTACCCTTTGTGGCAATACAACAGTTGTGTCAAGACGTTAAAACACCAAACAGAATCCATTTTCAAGGAACCCTGTCTGCATTAACCACCACATCGTACTTGTGGTGAACATACAAACATACATACAAACATCCTCCGGGAGTATTCGCCTTTTGGCGTCCTCTGGTCGAGCGCTGTTTGAGACTGGGATCTAAAGAAAGCTGTCTCTGGTGTGGACCAATCAGTTTCAAAGACAATGCATCATCATAAACTACCAGAGCGTCTTTGTTGTTCGCATGTTCATCACAAGTGTCATCGTGTGGTCAATGCAGATGGGATTCCTTGAAAAAAGGATTCTCCACAAATCTGGCTGTCGCCTGATGAAGCTGGTTGTAATTACCGGCGAAACGTCGTACTCGGATTGTAAATAATGTGGATTGGCTCTCCAACACACCGGTTAGTGCTGTACTAGTATACTACACTATACACTACTATACACTACACTATACACTAGTGCTGTACTAGTGACGAATTGGCCACGTTCTGTTTACGCGACAACCCTTACTAGTTGGCTGTGTCGGGTGGTGGCGGGTTTTAACGACACAACATTTAAATATCCACGCGATCTAACCCCACCCCCCCAAAAAAACAACCCCTCTATAATAGATGCCATTGGTCGCGAAAGCCTCCTACTACGTGCCAACAACGATTCTGTTTGTTGTTTAAACACCCCAACACCTTCCGTTGTATTGCCAGCAACGGGTACAACTTCAAGGTACAACACATCAAGGTACAGCCCGGTCAGCCAGCGGTGGGGAGGAAGGGGGTCGGAGTCGGGGGGTCAAACCCACGACCTCCTCATCCTCCACCTCCTCTACCACCACCTCCTCCTCCTCTACCACCACCTCCTCAACCTCCTGCTGCGAGACATCTCCTCCACCTTGCTCATCTGCGCCGCCGTCTCCTCCTTGGCGCCCATGAGCAGCATGGCGAGAGCTGCAGACACGCTGGCGGGGCTGAAGAAGACGTTCCTCTCCTCACCACTGCCGGCGGCTGCGGCGCCCAGCGCCTTGAAGAGGTCCAAGGCGAACTCCGTGTTGGCTTCCGTCACTGCGTCCATTGCTGACGATGGTGGTGGTGGTGGTGCTGCTGATGATACTGCTGCTGATGATGATCTTGTTGTAACTGCTGCGATAAAGGCTGCTGATGATGATGACGCTGCGACTGCTGATTCTCCTGCTGCTGCTGATGAGGCTGCTGCTGCTTGAACCTGGTATTTAAAGAGCAGTGGCATCAGCAGCAGCAGCGGCGGCAAGAGCGACCGCCCGCCGAACACGCCCCGCATCATGGACATCGATCCTCGCGACCGATTCCGTTCGCGAGAAATCGATTCCAGAAGAACCACCATAGCCACGCCCGAGTTTATCGTCTGTCCGCGCGACGGAGAGCCACGCGGTTTGCCGTTGAACGTTGTGGAAGGCGACGGATCGATACGTTTGCCGTGCGATCGATAGAGAAGCGAAGGGGACCCGCGACGAGCGCGTTCCCACCCCCAACGTATCGATGTACGCGTGGAGTCGATTTAAAACAAACATAAGGTGCACCGCTGAATCGAGGAATCGTTGCGCGCGCCCCGCGGAGGGCGGGCGAATCGCCCCTCCCCCCACCCCCCGGTTCGGATCCAGTGGTTGCAAACCGGTAACCGAATGAACACGGAGGTTAAAACCGGTTAGCGTTTTTTTTTGGAGACGCGAAGGAGAGAGCTTCCGCAACGCTGCTGGTTGATGCTGTGTTGCGGTGGTGGTAGGGTTCGTGTTATATTTCACAATATAACGACATCGTGTTTAAAAGCCGTATCCGCATTATAATTAATGGCAGATTTAAATTAGAACATATTATATTCTTGGTTCTTTCGGTAAAGTCACCACGTAGAAGGGAAACAATAAAATAATACAAACTAAACAATAAAAAACTCACGACGTTTCGACTGCAACACAAGCAATCATCACCAGGTGTGAAAACCACAGTTAAGATATAAAGCGTGCTGTGATTGATAATGATATACTTATGAAAAAATAAGAACAGGTTTTACCCCCTTTCTGGCAATATAACAGTTGTTCAGATGTTCAAACACCAAATATAAACCTTTCGCAATGTATGCGTTAACCAACACACCCGTGCCTGTGTTGAACATGCCAACAAAAGGGCCGTCCATAAATGACGTCACGCACCTGGGGGGGGGGGGGGGTGAGACATTTGTGACGATGTGTGACGAGGAGGAGGGGGGGTGAGAAATGTGACGTCAACTCAAAATGCGCAACTTTAAATAGACACGTTCTACTTAATTAAGACTTTTTAATAAAAAATTTCTCCTACATCAGAGTGCAGCGCCAAATTAAATACGCACTACAATGACAATAGTTTAAAGCGATTTGGAGCATGTTTTATTTTTTGGGGGGGGGGGGCAGAGCTTTGTGACGTCATATTTGAGGGGGGTCTGACTTTTTGTGACGCCGTGTGACGAAGGGGGGGGGGGCAAAAATCGTCCAAAATCGCGTGACGTCATTTATGGACGACCCCAAACACGCTCTGATAATATATGATGCATCTTCTTTTAAACTGATTGTCCTACACCAGAGACACCCTTATTTAGGGCCGAGTCTCACCACCAGCAGTAGACCCCTCAATTCGGATTATGGGGTCAAGGATTTTCGAACTGGGGCTCTGCTGTTGCGTTTCTGCTTTTCCCCACTCGCGATGAGACGAACGCGCTCCGGTTGAGATGTCACCACGTGGCTGAGTGACTCCAAAGTGTTTTCTGCTCGGCTCGAAGTCAGAGGGCGTTTGGTTCCATATGGAATCGGTGCTATTAAGGTGCCCTATATTATTATAGCTTCTCGTCTCCGTCCAACTGTGCTGGCCAGCAGCCCTCATTCCACAGGGACGAACCCAAATATTTTGAGAGCCTTCAAATCAAGACAACACATTTTTGGCAGGCTTAGTTTCGACAATTCTTCATATCAACCGCTTCAATATCATATTTATTTTTTGTGACTTACCTTTTCTCTATTTTGCACTCCTACTGGACATCTCTGAGAAAAGGTTTAATAACTCATCGGATTTCTGCAGGATAAAGATTTCGATCCCGTGGAATTAACTCGCTGAAGAGTTTGAGCCTATTCTCGGATGTGCCGGTGGTGCGATGCGGGTCAGGACTGGAAGTCCGCTTCCTGAGGCGTTTTAGGAAAAGGTTACCAAAAGGCATTGCTTGGTTCAGCTGGCTATCCGCGAGTTGTGCGTGTGGACGACTCTGCCCAAGGATGCGGGAGCCAGCCACTGAGTACACGAGGGCGAGCGTTGCCGTGACCTGCACCCTGTTGTCTATTTGCACCTTCACCGTTTTAACGGAAAAAAAACGAGGGCAACAATGTAACCACGCGGAGACTCGTTGGGGCCCATACGTTTGTGCCAGTGTTTACGACTAAAACTCCAATTAAACGATTACCGCTCCGTAACTTTTGGAACAGGTACCACTTGTGAAAGCAGGTCGCCAGTTATTGTTAACAACCCGACGTATATTTTGGTATTCTTTGGTTCTTTAGGTAAAGTCACGTAGATAGAAAAAAAATGAAAATAAAGTGAATAAAAATATCACGACGTTTCGATCGTAACACAAACGGTCATCAGGAAAAGGGGAGTTAGCCTCTAAAGGCAAACGGTTTATAAAGGTTTGGAGATGGGCGTAGCCCAAGTGCCTCAGCAGCACCAGCAGCATGGGCGGGGCAGCAATGCCAAAGCAGTAACAATGCCAATGCAGCAACAATGTCAATGCAGCAACAATGTCAATGCAGCAACAATGTCAATGCAGCAGTAATGCCAATGGAGCAGCAATGCCAATGGAGCAGCAATGCCAATGCAGAAAAGGGCCACCAAGAAATCTCTGCACCCCGCTCCACACACCACACTGCTGACGGAGGTTGATTGACAAGAAAACACAAGTCAAGTCATGACCCAAAGTGGTTGATGACATCTTTCCAATGATTGCCGAGTCTATAACCTTCCTCTTGGTTGAAATTGTGTCTGTATATATGGACGGCTTCATGAACGAATCTTTGTTGATAGCCAGTAGGTTTGCAAAGTACCATCGTCTTAGAGAAATCAATTTCGTGCGAGCCAGCCGCATTATGTTTTGGTAGTTTATTTTACACTCTCAGAGGTAGGCATAAAAATACTATCTTTAGGAACGATGATGTACATCTGTTATCTATCGCTTTTGGTGGGATCAGGATTTATTTTTAAATTACGGCTGCCGAGCACAGGCCCATAAATGCCAAGCGGCCAGCAGCAAACGGCACAATAATGTAATAGATGAGAGTTAATACATTTCTTGACTTTAGCAAGTTAAGAACTAGGGGCAAAAAGATGGTTTGAATTAACTTGCAATAGTTTCACTGTTGCCATAAACTGTCTCGGCTGGATGATGTGCACACCAAGAATAATGAGCAAAATATCACGTTAATTTCCTTTATTAAAAGCACACTGTACCCAGACTAGCATGTTACATGCAAACAAATGTCAGCATGCAAGCCTAGTGTTGAGAGGCATCACACCTCAATCAGAAATAAAACCGTACCGGTGCATGCAACATCAAGCATAAACGCTCGGGATGAGTTGCCGATTTTTGGACTAATAAAAAAACCCATCGAATATCAGCCCCACACAATTTCTAATCATCCGATGACAAACAATATATTTTGGATGGTGCATCGCGTACGACTGCTAACGAAAATGACGGCACTTAAATGTCTTCACTTCCATGCTTTTCCCACCAAAAGTTTCACGTGCGTATCTTTTGTTAGCACGAAGACACGTTAAGCCATGACTAAAAGTTCCAAGACTGGAAAAAGCGATAAAAAAATTCCTCGCAAACCTGCCATTTTGAAATCTGAAACTAATCTCAAATAAAAGCTATGTTCCTTTGCACACAACGACATGAAGACACTTAGTATCTTGGGGTGAAAATAAAACTCCCCATTCTTTCAACCAATACTGAATGAGTACGACCACATTTTTGGCACAGAGATCATGGAAAGTCCGTGAAACCTTGCAAATGGCCGTAAAATACATTACATTAGGCACTTCCTCAAGTTGTGTTTTGAAATGCTATATGGCTATTTTACCAACTTTTATATTTTAGAAAACTTTTTTTTCAGCCGAGACACCGCCCCCGCCTTATTCCGTGATTTATCGTTTTTTCCTGAAATTCAGGTCGTGAACTTTACCGAAAATGACCGTGACAAAACACGTACTTATTTAAGCCTCGCGATTAAGGTGATGTCCTGGGGAGGTCCTGATCAGTTTTGCCGAGTGTTCATAGCTACCTAAACAGCATCGCGATCACAGCAGTTGCAATAGATGATTCTTTTTGTAAAAGCTATTTCTAATTTGCAAGTTTTAAACACTTCCAAAAACAGGCTTTCGCAGAGCATTTAACAGCAAACATAATTGCCCTTTAAATTCCGTAATGGTTTAATCTTGGGCAACATTCACAAGTAAAGTCTCGAGGTGGCCCTGGGTGGCTCTGAGGTCACAGCGCTGAGCTAGAACCACTGAGAACCTGGGTTCGAATCTAGGCAAGTTGCCTGCGATCCGCTGCCACGCAAGGAATATTTGCTCTGTAGCCCAGAGGGGGTAGGGTCAGCACTACTTGCGAAATCCAAATGGACTAGTCTAATTATGACATAATGGCAAAAGCACAAATGAAGATAAAATTGAAATAAAATAAATCCCACACAATGTAATAGCTCCAACAACAAAAATGTTTAACGGAACATAAATATGAAAATCTTATGGAATGGATAAAAACAGTTGTAAGCTTAATTGAAGACTGCGCATTTTTCCATTGATAAGTGCCGTAACATGTTGGCTGGTAATCCAGCAGAATCTCGAACATCTACTTGATATGTGTCACATACAGAATCGGCTATCTACTTTGTGCAAAATGGCAAAAACATGTGTACTGAAACACTGTTTTGAGGAATGCATTTTGCCAACACTTTCCACTGTGCCACAATACCCACGATGATCCAAGCACAAGAGGAATGCTACCCACGCATTTTCACTCACTTGCCGAACCTAAAAGCAGTGCGTGCGCATGAACTTAACCAAGACAACCCTCCCAGAGCATTCCACATGAATGTTTCAGCAACCCACATATCATTTCAAGACACATCCTTCACAAACATTTCCCCATCAAGGCTCCACTTATGAGTGAAACCACACGTTGCGTGCCAGATTTTTTAAGGCAATCCGTTACAGTAGCTGCAGCACAGACAAGCTTAATCGTACAATAATCTAGCAGCCCCTTTTGTCGGCACATCAACAAAGAGTGCATGTGGAAGGTGAACTGCCTTGTAAAATTAAAATATCACTCTAGTGTTCACGGGCTTGACACAGTTCCGTCTCTTTTTGTGAATCTGCTTCTGGCCCGTGGAAGAGCCGAACACGGCCATGAACCGACTTCGAGTTCTGGTGGCTCGGGACAAAGTAAAAGCAAGACGTCAAAGCAATCGACGAGCCACCGCACGTTTTCGGTGGCGGTATGCGGATGCGACAGGCGAAGCGGTTTGGGTGAGATACGAGGCATCAAATGTAGATGGTCGAGTTATGGTTGAAACAGAACAGATGCACGCAAATACAGGGACACACAGCTTGTGCATAGAATGGGAGTTTCTCAACCTTGCTTTCCTTTCTCAAAAAAAACTTCATATGCCGCACTTTATTAAACGAAGCACTTTACAGTTTTATTTGAACGGCGTTCGCATGATGGCGTCTAAATGCCCAAGCAATCTGAAGCAAGGAGATAAAGCCAAGATGAGCTACAAATCGGTGAGTAGTGCAGCGGTGGGGAACCTATCCATAAGGAGAGACAAATAGGTATTTATTTCCTTTGGCAGACAACCAAAAGACAAAGATCCCCCCGTATAGCCTTAACAGACTGTTGGGGCAAGTGCTGTTAGCAAGCACCTATGAAGGCCGGAACAGCACACGAGGGGGTGGGTGGCCAGCACCACGCCCGGTCGCCTTTGTCTCCCCAGTGGCAATGTTTACACACTGCACCAGGAACTCATTTGAGGCTGAGTCGACTGAGGGGAGGTCCAAAACCGGCTTAGATAATCGTCAACGGTGTTGGCCGAGAGCGGCAGTCGAACGTAGATTGCAGGGTTTGTAGCGCAGCGCGTTAACCGCTACACTCCCGCTCCCCACACATGAAAATACACGCGTCAGTCACTTCTGTGACCGACTTCTGTGAATGACGCGTGTATCAGTGACTGAACGCACTAAAATAAAAACCAGTTGTGCCAGTTTAGGAAATGGTCGCCCCTTTAGTTGGCCAAGACAACCTGCAGTGATGGGTAAACATTGTTTGCGGCCATTGCGAAGCGGGGGTAGGCCTCATGCGGCTGTGGGCCCTACGAAATTAAGTCTTTGACCGAACACGGCCCACGGGCTTCAAGTTCCCCCACCCTTGGTGTACGGGAAGGATAACGCGGTGCGCTGAACTTAGGAATGCCGTTTTCTGTAGTATTAAATCGTTCAAGTAAAGCAAAATGTGGAAATAAAGAGGGCGAGAGTATGCACTGCGTGCCATTCGGCGTGACATCATAACGTTTCCCCGCTCCTAGCCCGTGGAGTGAAACGTCGGACGACACGCCAAACGGAACGCAAAAAACAAAACCCGCAAACACATCGGAAGGTGAGAAAGAGAGAGACAGCGTGTGAGAACGATTGAAAAAAAAATCACAATCCCGTCCTCGAGATGGGCCTGCCGGAATGTGTCAGAGGCCCAATCGGCAGCTTGCGGTTCTCCTTGCTCTTCTCCCGTGCTCTCCTGGTGAAGGCTCCAGGCAGCACGTCCCTGTGGACGCCGGCGGAGCGCGTGACTGCGCCGGGCGGCGCTTCCCTCCGCTGCTGCTGCTGCTGCCGCGCCGAGCTGTGGCCCGTTGCGGCCTGGTGCGCCTTGATCCAGTTGGCGATGGGCCTGCGGCTGATGCCTACCAGCAAGCCGTCTACCTTCATCCGCAGCTTGTCGTAGTGCACCTGCCTTTCGACGCGCAGCTGTCCCAAGTACTGCTGCAGCTCGGTCCCTCCGGCCCCCCGCGCCAACGCCACCTGCCCGTTCTGCAGCTCGCCGATGCCGCCTGCGGAATTTTCCCCGCCTACTTTGACCGGCACCGGACGCGGCTCTTGTGCCGCGCCAACTTGTCTAACCTCCATTTGGTTGCCTGCTTCCTGCCCGTCCTCGTTGCAAGGCTGCTCCTCAGGGGAGGCACCGTTCACGGCGCGGCGCTTGTCCGGCGCCGGCGTGTCAGATCTCCGCCGCTTCTGCGTCAGCGAGCGCCGGCGGGCGACGACGGCGCCGGCGGTGCCGTGTTGCTGTGGACCAGGCGTCACTCCCCCGTCCTTCTGCCGCTTCCCGGGACCCATGGATGTGCGGCGCGACACCCCAGGACCGCCGCTCACCATCGAGCGCCGACCTGGCGCCACATTCTTCGCCGACGTCACCGGCTGCTGCTGCTGCGGAGGCACCGGCTGCTGCGGCGGCGTAATCGGCTGGAGCGGCCTCTTGTGGGGGGCCAGAAAGCTCTTGCGCCGATCGGAAGGGCGCTCCTCCACCGTCGCTTCCTCCGTCTGTGTGGCGGCATCGGCGGCGGCGGCACCCGGCGTGATTGGGGGCGGCGGCTCGGCCGCATGGCGCCGGCACCAGGTTGCGACCGGGTCGTCGTCATCAGCGCCCGGGCGGACTTCCGCCGCCCGTCCCGGCGACACGGGGCTCCGGATCGACTCCTGGCCCGGAGCCGTCTCGCACCGCTCACCGAGGGCGTGCTGCAGCTTTCCCGGCGGCCGAGACGGCGTCGGCACGGCGCCGACGCCCGGCACGCATAGCGGCTGCGACAGGGCGTAGAGGATGCGGAAGTCGTTGTCGTACACCTCGGTGATCTGACCCGAGAGCACGGCGAGCGTGCTGCGGTGCAGCTTAAAGTCGGACCACGTGTAGCTGCGGGGTGAGACAATGAAAAGACAAACCGTACGTGCGTACGCGCACGAGCCCGGCACAAAGTCACTTCTTTCTATATTACCAATTAACACCGGTTAAACGTTTCAAACTGTAAAGAAAGAGTCAACTGTTGTGCAAGGCATTACATCATAATTAATATAAGCTGAGAAAGAAAAATCAGTTACCAGGTGACATCCTGTTTGCTGGAGGATACTACACCGATCAAAGTTTAAAACTCTATTGAAAAAGAAAAGCAATCAATTCCTGTACAAGGCACTAAAATAAAAATCAACATAATCTGAGAAATAAATATAACGTACCAGATGACAACCTGTTTGCCAGCGATACAAAGTATACGTTGTTCCACCTTCACGGCATATATTGATTCACTAAAATTTGGTTTGGATTGCTACATTCAGGGTCATTGTCCCACTTTGGTCCTCGCACGACTCCACCTACGTCTCCATCCGCTGATACACACACATCCAGAACGGTAATACTGGCACAGCCCGGAGACAAAATCAGCCGGGGCACGCCAAACCTCATCAGATCTCAGAAGGCAAGGAGAGTTGATCCTGGACGGTGCTTGGATGAGCGACCGCCGCACACAAACAGGTTGTCATAGGCAGTAACGGGGTTCCGTCGTGGGCCAGACAGGGCAGTGCAGCAAAATCCATTGTTGGGATGGTTTAGTTGTATTCGTATGTGTTTGGGCGATTTATGTACCTTTCTTGTACTTTGCACTACTATCGTGTTTTGTACTGTTTGTTGTTGTAACGTTCTTTGCCCGCCCTGACTGGACATCTGGGAAAAAAGCTTTATAGCTCATCGGATTCCTCCAGTATAAATAAATATTTTGATTCTGATTCTATGCCTCTCCGCCTTCATCGACATTCACTGACCAGCGTAGTGAGGTATGGTCAAATAACCACCCCTCATGACCCCGGCGTGCATGGAGAGGCTCTCATCTAGCAGTGGATTTACAAAGGGGATGGAGATATACACTTGGCCAGCGATCTGTACACGTGTATATCTACAATCCAAATCTGAAAATTTCTCGCAAATTACCAAATTGGGTAAAGTCACAAAGCAACATCGCCCCCTGCCGTGAGACTTACCGCAGACCGTCGGTGAAACGTAGCTTCTTCGTGATAGTATTGCACTTGCCAAATTTACTGATTGGAATACTTCGACTTGGCATGTGCACAGTATTGGCTTGCTTTTGAATAGAGAGGGAACGACTTAAGAGACACGAGGAGGTACCACAGAACAAGTGGGAAGGCAGCCAGGCAATAAAGCCGTCACAAGCATTCTCCCCCAAACGCTGCGGTCCTCCGTATATATTAAACAATAATCGGCCAATTAACGAGCGGTTAGACACGGGAGGAGAAAACCCAACGCATGCGAGTTTGGCACAGATGGAACAGGTGCGCAGTCCACGTTTTCTGTACCGCCTTGTCTTTGGCAAGCCAGTGTACGGGCACCTCGACGATGCCCACGGCGGGGGGGGGGGGGAAGGAGTTTCACGTTTGTGCGATCCACTAATCCTCGCCTGCACAGTACCGAGTTACAGGCATACGCCGCTGCCGCCACCGACTGGCTACATATAAAAAATTGATTTGATACAATTGGTAACGAGTTTAACACGTAGGCTTTCGCGACCAATATTATTCGTAATAAAAGTTTTCTTTTTTGAGGTGAGATCGTATAAATGTGTCGGTTAACCCGGCCACCACCCGACACGAAGGCAAATAGAAGGGCGTGTGGCCGTCTGGTCGCCACCAACAGGCACTGCCAAAAGACACCGAGACTGGAGGGTACCTGTAGGAGCCTATGCCGACACGGCATCCGTCCACCAGCATGTACTTCTCGCGCAGTTGCCCCGTCACCTTGACTCCAAAGCGCGTGTAGTAGGTGAGCCCCGGCACCGTCCTCACCCGCACGTTCTGTCACGCGCACAGACCAAAGACCGCCCCCCCCTCCGTCGTCATCGGCAGCCCACCGTTGTCGACCCAATGCACGCGTCGCCCCCCCCCCCCCCAGCCACAACCTCGTTTGGAGAAGCAGAGCGAGATGCCATCGCGCTTTCAAACAAATGCTGACATCGGCCTCTTTTGGGGGAGGCCAGGCTACGTTATCAACAGACAGCGTTGCAGCCATATCCAATGTATAGTGCGGTGTTCTTCACTAAATTTTAGAGGGGGGGGGGGGGGAGTGGCACTTTCGCCGATAAGACATCAGTGTGAGGGCCGCCATATATTTGAGAAACCATTGTTAGGTTTGACAGCACAGCACGATGATGATGGAGGGTGTTTTCACTTGTGTATTGTCAGGGAGCCGCCCGTAAAAGGGGCTACGCTAAAGGCCACCAGGGGCCGCCAGTGGCCCGCAGGCCTTGCCCTGAAGAACCACAAGTATAGTGTATTATGTTCCAACTTTTCTCCATGCATTCACAAACCTAAAATAGTTAAGGTAAGGTACAATAAAAAAAATGTAACCCACAGGACATGCACAGCCATCGGGAGGCCCTCATCTAGCAGTGGATTGACAATGGAGCTGTGCATGAGGCATTCTTTACTGTTCAACCAGATAAAGAGGCCCAGTCATTGCCAGAATGATCCCAGCTCCAACCTTGGTGCAATATCGGCCTCAGCAATGTTTACATCTCAATTAACACGAGAGCGCAATCTATAACAGGTTTTTTTGGGTTAGATCGCATATATATGAATGTGTTGTTATAACCCGCCACCACCGGACACAGCCAATTAGTAAGGTTCGTCACGTAAACAGAACGTGCCAATTTGTTACTGGTACAGCACACTCGTCTTTTGTAGAGTAGATCCATTTACAATCTAAGTACGACATTTCGCCAGTAACAAACAATTTCAACTATTCGGCTGTGTCGGGTGGTGGCGGGTGTAACGACACATCTATATTTAGACGATCCAACCCAAAATCCTCTATTATGGACAATATCGTTTAAAAAAAATCGTCTCAAAGCCACCACCGTCGGTGTGCAACAATGTCGGGAGAGGCGACCGTTCGCGAACACGCACGATGGCAGCACAGCAGACCACGCGCTGCTAACCAGCAGAGGGCGGCACATGCAAAGGAAGAAAGTGTCCTTTTGGAGTGGAATTTTCAACATTGTGGGTCAAATAGGGAGGGGTGGGGGGGGCGTGGGGGTGAGGTGTAGCACACAGTGGATTAACACAGATTCATAATGCTCACAGATTCAACCGCTGTTGATTTATGCAAACGATAAGCTAATGTTAGCTCGAGGCTAATTTTTTATTTTGCGAATAAAACTGCATGGGGGGGGTGGGCGGGGAGGGAAATTACAGAATTCAAATGAAGCAGTAGCGATTGAGATGAAAGAATAAATGATCGCATAAAAACGAGAGTAGGGCTCGAAAGAAGTCTGTGATAATAATCGGCTGATAATCTCCTCGGCCGGGCAGTGTTGGATAAACCCCCGTCCCGGCCAGAGTGAGAGAGCCCAAGGGATAGCCGAGGTTAGGACGAGCAGAGCTTGGGGGTCCGCGGGAAGGACCGAGCAGAGAGAACACCTACCACCCCCTGGTGTGAGTCGAGTGTTTAACCCGTGTTAATAAACGGCGAAAGCCCTTGCAAGAAGTTGTCTCCGCGTGGTTCTACGACCCAAGCACAGCAGTTCAGGGTAGCCAGACTGATAGCTTCACAATTAAAATGGTGTTCGACAAGTTGTATTGTCTCCCAACATGATTTCTTCCCCTAACTAAGGACTTATCTTTCACTCGCAATATGATGCACTCCCCTGTGTGGACGACTTACGCCTCGTGCATCGCACTCATTTAAATTACAAGCTGAAGGCAATAGACATTACGCTGCCCAACGCACAGATTATTCACCGTCAATTACCACCAAATTACCTATTCTTTCTAGATTTGAAGCTTTCGTGACTGCAAGGATTCATACTGTGGTTTTTTTTTTCGGTAAAGTCACGTAGGTAAAATTTTTTACTAAATAAATGAAATCAACTAAATTAGACCACGACGTTTCGGGCTCAACACAACCGTCCGTCATCAGGTGTTGCGCCCGAAACGTCGTGATTTAATTTAGTTTTCATTTATTTTATACCTACGTGACTTTACCGATTCTTAATTGCGGTGACACAATACCTGGTTACAATCAACTATAAGCCCAGTCAGTGACGATGATAATAATAAATGGCTCGACACAGCTTCCAACGACAACCAGAGCACGCGGCTTGTAGTGCATGTACCTACACAGTAGGTGGCACACGTTTTGTACCTGCATGGAGCTTCCCATCGGCTTGTCTCACTCTACGAGTAGCCCTCCCCATTTTGCTTTCCGCTCCTCCGTTTTCATCTCTTTCACTCCGTCGGTCTTTCTTGCTTAATTTTACTTCGGGCTTTTTGTTGCTATTTAATGATTTACTTCTCGAAGGTCGCCAACGCAGCTCAACGGCGGGTACAGTGGGATGCCATGGAGGCGAGATGTTAACTGCCTCGCCTGGTATACAGGAGGTCGTGTGCTCGACCCTGACGCCTGCTGTACATTTGGAGTTTGCATGCTCTCCCCGGGGTCGCGTACATTTTCCTTCCACATTTATAGACACGCACTTCGAGCATTTGGTGGCTATACATTTCCACACGATAAGCCACTTCGTTGAGCTATAATTTGTGATGGTCAGGTCGCTTCTAAAAACGAGCTATACAGCTCAGTGGGACCACTCAGTCTGGCTAGCCGAGGCTCCATTGGAATACACATATATTAATAAATGATCCTTATGGCGGTACCTCGGGGTACCAAATAATACAAAATGGCCGAGGCAATTAAATATTTTATTTCTGGGGTGTTACTTAACTCCGCGACTGGGGTACCAATCAATCCTAAATCAGTGCCACTCCGCGATGTCGAAACGCAGCGGGGACGATTGCGCCGAAACCCTGAACGCTCGTATGCACCAGTTGATCGGGTGGGATCTTGGTGATTGGGAATCCAGGCAAATATCTGCTTTTCTCAGCGCTCTCGATGAGATCGAGGACTTCAAAAAGGCTTTCGAAACCAACTTAATCGCGACTAGCTGTGAGAAGCACATCCTCGCGTTCATGTCGAGCGCGTCAGCATCAGCGGCGGGAAGCGGCATCCTCTGCGGCAGGTGCCTCTTCGTCGGCGTCAGACTCGTCATCTTCGGAGGCAGAAGAGCGGCGACATCCGTGACGGGCGCATCATCGGCTTGCGGGACGGCGTCCTTGCGATTGTCCACATTGTCGACCCAACTCTATCGGCGACACAAGGTCAAGATGGAGGCCCAGGACCGTCGTGTCGTGTAATTTTTAAGATAGATTCAGTACGCCCACATGTACTATCCCGGTCTTAGCTTGACGCGCACAGCCGAAGGACGTTTGCGACTGCTGCGTTCGAATCGACATCCAGCTCGAACGCAAGGATCTTCCGGATGATGGACGTCAACGCCTACTGCTGGAGAAGAACATGCATCTCGACGCCGCTGTCGGCCAGCGCAGAACGGTGATCAAATTCGTCAAGGAGTACGTCAAACAGCACGCTCCTGATCAGAAAGTTCCCAACACCTTCGTTCCGGAACACTGCGACGACAACGACGGAGCCGGAGTCGACCCGAGCCGACTGCCGTCGGTGCAGGAATCGAACGGCCTTCCCACCATCCAGATTCAGATTGAGGATTCTGGCGGTAGGTTCGCCATGCCGCACCACGATCACATTCTCCCGTCCGCGGATTACTTCAATTCAAACCTGATGGTCCAGAACTTCGTCCTTGCGGACATCACGAGCAGGTGTACCACATGAAGCTGCTCGCCACGAAGATGGCCTGCATGATGCAAAGCAATTTGCTCGTTATTCTCGACAACTGTGTCGGCCAAAACAAGTCGCAGCTGGTGATGTTCTTTGCGATGCTGTCGCAATTGTTCGACAGCAAAGTCGTTCTGCTATAATTGATACCAGGGCACTCGCAAAACCAGGCCGATCGGGTCGTCGCATGGTGTCGCAATGCGATGAAAGGTAAGAATATTCTTAGCTCTTTCGGTAAAGTCACGTTGAAGGGAAACAATCGAATAATAAAATATATATAAAGCAATTTTTTATTTATTGTTTTATATATATTTTATTGTTTCCCTTCAACGTGACTTTACCGAAAGAGCTAAGGATATGAATTACTGCAGTCACGAAAGCTTTAAATCAAAATAGAAAGGTAAGAACTTTTACACCCCGATGGACATCGTGCAGGCCGTAAACGACGTCAACAGCATTAAGGTGACAATCGTTAATAATCGCGATTCCAAACGCTCATTCTAAAACGGACTAGGACGCGAATTTGAAGAAGCACTTCAAGCAGATGCCAACCCGCTACACGTTCAACTACTTTTTTGAGATCGATGAAGGGCTCGTTAACATGAGATACCTCAGCTTGACGCGCGACAGTGAGATCCTCCACGTCCCGCTCACCAAGCAGGAGAATGTCAAAACTCGTCCATCGATTGATTCTACATGATATGTTCGGTGACAACGTAGACACGATCGAGAAGGGGACGTTGCAATCAATCCGTTTGCCGATGGCTCCTGTCAGCAGCCTGACGATGAAGAAATTGCTCTCGCTCTCAAAGAAGTTATTTTCTATTCCTCCGGAATACCTGCCATATTACCCGGCAGTCACGAGCGAGATCAGCTCACAGATCGACGACCCGATTCAGCAAGCAGTCCCCACCCGCTCGAACAAACGCCAGCTTGTTTCGATTGACGCGATGGTGGACCCAGACACGACTGCGGCGCCGAAGGCGAAGCCTGGGCGTCCCAAGAAGAAAACGGGCATCGCTCAAGGGGGATAAATCGATCCGGTCCTTCTTTGCCAAACATTAGCATAAAAAATCTCTTATTGAAAAATTCTACTTTGAAGAGTGCATCGTGTACAGCTCGTCGAGATGAATCGATTACCGCATCGTCGATCATCAACAGACTAAAAATGACTGCAATCACGGACATTATGCGAGAACCGGGGTACCACGGTACCCTGGGGTACCGCCACAAGGTTCATGTTTCAGCTAAAATGTAATTGCAACAAAGACACACACGTACATATACATGCACTCATGCACACGAAGGTGGTACAATTATATTGAGCTTAATATACAAAGGAAATCTAAGAGACCGTTGATGGTGCAGTTATTTGTAATCAGTTTTGAGTTGGCGCATTCATCCCGCGCACAACGTTCTACATCGCATCGCGCTTATGCCGGAGACAGACCATTGCGCGGATGCCGGAAAATAATGAACATCAAGCGCGGTGCCATCATCGATTGTTCTACGCTTGGCCAACACTGAACCAAAGGAAATTTACAAAAACATGCTGAACAAGTACAGTGGTGGGGGGACAATGCACCGTCGCACGCAACGGGCAAAAGGCGGGCTGCAGAATGTTGCCGTGGCAGAGAGACCCTTGAAGATAACCCGAGGTCAGGGCGGCCAGCCTACGACTGCGACGAATGAGGAAAACATCAAGGCCTGTGCGCGACGCAGCCTTGGAAGGTTTTGAAAGACTGCCGGTGGTTCTGTTGCAGCGAGCTGACAACGAAGGGCCACCGCCTCTGTGTGATCAGTGGAAATAATCTCGGACAATCATTTGGGGCGGAGAACATAGGGGTGTGTGTACGATGGGTCTGCAGAATCCTGACATGCAAAAATTTACAGGAAGAGGCTGATGCAGTCTGATGACAAGCGTGGGCCTCGTGAAGGCAGAGTAGAACATTGTTTAAAATGCGATTTATTACCAGCGGCGAGACGAAGATTCACCATAACTACCCCCACTGCAAACAGCAATTCAATGGGTAAAACCACAGGGCATCCTCGGCCCCTACTGACAGACTAATGCCCAGTTGCAGACCTATGCTGCGTACGTCTTGTGCCCCACAGGGACAGTTACCACTGGGAGTCCCTTAGCTAGAGTGCAGCAAGGCATTGGAATGGTTGAGATGAAGATGTGAGAGGTAAGGCACTTTGAGTTGCTAATCATTTAAGCAAGCCCCATATTCGGTCAAACTCTGTTTATCTATTGCCCGATTAATTATCCGTGAATTTGTTTATCCTGGGCCGGCAATAGAGGACTTGGTTCTCTCTTCCAATTGGATATTTAGACCAGGGTACTGCCTCCCCCCGCCCCCACATTTTCCCAGGATAAACGAACTTTGTATACATCAAAATCATTATCTTTATGCAATGGAAACATCCTACTTCTCCAACATAACATGGAATTCACGTCAGAGGCACTCTGCAGGCAAGATCAAGCACGCTATTTTTTTGGGATGCTAAAAGGCGTGCTGTAGTATATTGATCGCATGCCACGCAGGGAGACGATGATCACAGCTCAATGTTACGCAGAGGTTGCTCCACATCGACTGCACGAGTCAAAGAACAGCACGGGGTAATAATACTCGAGGTGACAGACACGATCGGTGACACGAGCAGAGACACGGAGAGAGACGAGCACAGAGAACCAAGAAGAGAGGTACGAGAGAAAGCCCCCAAAGAGAGATGACACAAGACAGAATAGGGAGACAAAGATCCCCCACCCCCCCGTATAGCCTGAACAGACTGTTGGTGCAAGTGCTGTTAGCCAGCACCAATCACCAATGAAGGCCGGCATGGCACACGAGGGGGTGTGTGGCCAGCGCCACACCTGACCGCCTTTGTTTCCCTAGTGGCAATTGTTTACACACCGCACTAGGTACTCATTCGATGCCGAGTCGACCTAGGGGAGGGCCAGGAAGGGTTCAGATAATCGTCACTGGTGTTGGCTGTGAACGTGAATTTAACTCGGGTCGCCGGGTTCGTAGCGCAGCACTCTAACCCCTACACTCCCGCACGCACACACACACACGGCGAGAGAGAGATGAGTTTATGAGACGGGTATAGAGACGGAGACCAGAGCAGAGATCAGTAGATAGCAAAAGAGACTCGGGGAGACGGAAAGAAAGAGAGAGACATCATGCAACCTCCCAAATTGCCTTTTCATGACTCCCTTGGGGGCTGCGGGCCACTGCTTGGGAAGCCTGGAACTTGCTTGGAATTCAACAGTGGGCTCGGATGTGCTCAATATAAATGGACAGGACAATAGATAGGACTCCACCTGCACGACTGTGACAAAGCACCACGACTTGGTACGCCACTTTCAGAGTCAAACGCTAATTTGTTTAATTAGGAAAGTTCGAGTGAGACGAGGGATGACCGACTGCACTAACATAAAATCTAAGAGTTGGCAGGTAGTGGGCTCAGACAGCCAAATTAAGGCATTAATGAGTAGAATAACACAATACTCATGTGAGTTAATCATAGCACCCACATATTGAAAGGAAACCAACGCTGTAACTTTTCATAGCAGGCATCCAGCATTGATATAAGAAAAATAATACAACATCCTATACACTGGGGCATCTCAAAGTGCTTTTAAGATAATAACATCACATCTAATTTTTTTTAAGGGCGCCTCCCCCCCCCCCCCCCCCCCCCCCACAGTGGCAGCTGTCCCTGTGCAGCACAAGGGTCACTAAACACCTGGCCTGCAAGTAGGCATTAGCATGCCGATTGTTTCAGGGCGCTTTATAAATTTAAATTATTATTAGGGGGCGATTATTTCTGCATGCGATTCCAATGGAGAAATTTGGGATTTTATTCAGAATTTGGTACATTTAGACTCCAGGACGCGATGGCCTACCCCCGTTTTGAATAACATCACGGGATCTTTAACGTCCACCGTGCAACGGTAAATACACTGGCAGCATTAACCAGGGCAGTTGCTAGGGCTCGAACCACTAACCTCTGCAACAAGCGACAATAAGCGCTACTGCTCGGCCCTTGTCACCGTCACATTTGCTTTATAGCCTTACTCCCCACCACCCCAAACTAAATCACGTAGCATCACCAGGGCTGCTGTTTAAGCGCCACGGAAGGGTTATTGAAGTTGAATGAAACTGGGAGATGGGAGGAAAAAATTACAATCGAAAAGTGGAATTGAAAAATAGCCTTTGTCCTGCTCAAAATGATTCTGGATGACGAATGGAACAGTTATTTTTTATGTTCCACGTTTCCCCCGCTGTGGGCCTACCTGCCATGATGGTGAACAGTGAGCCACGTACACCGCAATAGCGCGCGTTCATCACACGGGTACACTAATGCCCCCCCCCCCACCTCCCACCAGTTATACTTTTTTTAAAGTCTGAAACTACAAATGTAAGGTTATGCAACCGAAAACAAATGGATGCAGAAACCCGAGTGTGACGTTAACAACATTGTAAAAACTGAAAAGAACACCTTAGTGTGTTTAATAGTCCATTGAAGATATTCATTACTTTGAAAGCACTTCGTTGTAATTACTGACGAAGCGTCGTACTCCGATTGTAAATGTTGTGGCTTGGCCCTTCAACACACCAGTTTGCTGTACTAGTAACGAATTGGCACGTTCTGTTTACATGACAACCCTTACTAGTTGGCTGTGTTGGGTGGTGGTGGGTTTAACAACACATTTATATTTACGCGATCTTACCTAAAAACCTCTATTATGGATAATATTGGTCATGAAAGCTTACGTGTTAAACTAAAAATCCACTTGTTTATACTTACAATAAACAATTTCATGACTCATCTTCTTTGGTTCTTTCGGTAAAGTCACGTAGAATGAGAATAAAATAATAAATTGATAAAATAAAATAACACAATAGCTTAAAGGTCGTGATCTGAACGTGGCTCTTTCACTCCAGCGCTGTCCTACCAGACAGTCTCGTCCCTTCACCTGATGAAGGCCGCTTGTGTTGTGGCCGAAACGTCGTGAGAATATTATCGTGTTATTTTATTTTATCAATTTATTATTTTATTCTCATTCTACGTGACTTTACCGAAAGAACCAAAGAAGATGAATCATTGCGGTCACGAAAGCTTTAAATCGAAATTTCATGACTGTTCGACTGATGTCACTGTGGTGTATTCGTGTAATTTTAATAAGTCCCTGCGTTGACATGACTGGAGTAAAAACATGCCTGAAAGTTACTTCAAAGGTTTTTGTCATTAGCGAAGCTTGACATCTTACTGGACAGCTCTGGATGCAGAGCCTAGGCATGCATTGAAAAGAGAAAACGGGGTGGCTGATTGCCAGTAAGCGAATGACTGGAGTGAAAAAAGCGAGTGCTGGTAAAAAGATGAGATAAGAGTTACTTGATCCTTTGGGCTGCATCTCCTGGTAGATGTTATGGGGGAGTACTTGTAGAGCTGTTTTTTGCATTTAGTTTATAGTCCATCCCCCGTGCCTTCGATTATCACGGTTGCCTATGTACGGCGAAAAAAGAATGTTCAACATACGTACATACATACGGGTGGCAGCAGGGGTTACCTTGAGCTGGCTCAGCGAGTGTCCCGCACGCTCGCTCATCAACAGGAAGTCAGGGACCCCCAAGGGCTCCAGGAGGATGTACACGGGCACTCTCTTCTTGACGGACGCCTCCACAAGGTCACGGAAAATCTCCACGTCCGTGAAGGCGTCCATCACCAAAGCAATCAGCTGTGAAGGCACACACGAGACACGCACACACATGCTCGTCGGGCTCACAATCAGGCATAGCCAACATCTCACCAATTCCTGCATCGCCTACTCGATTTGTAAAGCAAATTAGTGCATTGCTTGCTTTTTTTTGTCCTGCAGATTGACATCAGCCAAAAATCTACATACAACTGCATTTTGTACACTGTAATGGATGTTCAACAAATGATTTGGAGATTTGAATAACAAAATGACTCACACTCATCAGTCACACTGGCCTAAAAATATACATGAGTAACCTTTTGGCCATTGGCCCTTCATCACAGCACAGAGGCCAGATATAGTGAACAAGAGCGAAAGACTGCACTTTACACCATGGGGCGTTACATTTTTTAAATGTATCCAGATTATTATCAGGTCTCATGGTGTAAAGTGCAGTCTTTAACTCTTATCCACTGTAATTATCTGGCCTGTTTACATGCTATGAAGAAGGGTCCATTGCCCAAAACATGGCCTATTATATACGTTCCGTTTTAGAGCCAGTCTTATTGACGAATGTGTTGAGTTTGTTGTTATCAGTAACGTATTTGGTTGGCCCAGTAGCATGGGTGCATCGTGCTATGAATGTGGAAATCGTGATTTTGATTACTGGCCAGTCCTGCCCCCGACCCCATGTCACCAAACCACAACCAGCATGGCAAGGTATGGTGGTAAAAAAATAATACATTATCAACACCGCATGGAGAGGCCTTCATCCACCATAGACTGACAAAGGCCTTTATCTTATGTAGGAATTTTTTTTTTAAATAAATCGCCAGCCATGTGTCCGTATAAATTTGCAAATCATATATTATTTTTGGTAGACTTTAAGGTGACAGTGCAAGAGCGTACCTAGAAAAGGAAACTGATGGCAAGAAGCTCTGGCGTCAATAAAGTGGGACAATCAAGAGTATATTTCTACGTGGTCTATTACTCATTCAACTTTAAGACTGATGGCAGTCCCTTAGCCTGCTTTGCGAGTGAAGGAGACCACCACCACCACCCCTATAAGCCATGCCCAGAGTGATACGAACAGATAATGCAGATGACGTCGCCAATTTCCATCCATTACCACCTCCCATCCAGAGATATTGTTTTTTCTCAACTATTTTCATGTTAAGGCTACGAGTCAAGCAATCGAACCAATAAATGATAAGTGTCATCAATTACGTAACTATTCGGTATCCCAGCTCGACTTTAATGACACTGGATATATAGACCTCTTGACCTTATTAAAAACGGTACGTGATTGAAAATGGCGCCTCAGGGCATTATTTCATTAGAGATGGCTTTTGCTGTATATAAAAAAAAATATTCTGCAGGCCAACTTGTGCATTATATTCAAACCATGCAGCATCGGCGTTTGGAAGGCACGCGAACGAGATTACAAGTAAACACAATGCGGCCACATGCTCCGGGCACTCAACGTAATGGTACCTCACCAGCATCCCCTTGCAAACGTTTGCGTATCAAATTTGCTACGGTACTTGGTCCTGAGTGGGGGAGAATTTTATTTGCCATTTTAAACACATGCAGATAATGTATATGAAGCGAATACTGCTGAAACAGCTTGTTGAATAATGATGTTGATGTTGCATCGTGTGATTCCACTGTAACGAGACAATATTACCGAATTAAAAAATCCAGCCACACACCACCAACTTCACTTTCCTGCATCGTCAACAATATTTTCTCGCATTGAGGGGGCATCTCATATGATACTCCATTTGGCTGCAATCCGTAATGACATTGCAATGTGCTTTGTAAAAATTCAGAACATCAGAAACTGCAAAATATTTTAAAATGTGAACTACTCTGGCTAATAGAAAAAAGTATTATACTTTATAGGCCTGTATTTTCCTCAAAATAATTACTGATCTCCTGAAATTATAATAACCCCAATATAATGTAAATATTGATGGATTTTCATAGGCTGCATTAGAGTTTTAATTTGCACAGATTACTAAAGCCAGCAGAAGCACCAAAACCACATTAGAATGTGGTGGTTTAAGGAAATGATTATCTCAGCCACTGAGACATACATACCTATCGATGCCCCGATCCACTCTCACTCAGCAAATTATGCATCCTTGTTACCACTGTACTTTTCCTATGACTAAGTGACGAAAAAATTATTCCACAACCGCCGACTACACCGCATGCGGGAGGAGTCGATATTTTGACACTCCCAGTGTACAGTTTAGTCAGCGTGTGTGTGTGAAAGTGTGTGCATTTTCATTTAACGCAGAAGCTTCAAGCGGACTGCCATGGGCTGCTTCTCATTCATGTACTTTCTTACTGCAAAGGCAGACGGCAAATATCGAACTACCTGAGAGTGGAACTTAATTACATTTTCTACATCCTTGATGGCTATTCAAATGGCAACCCGTGGGCCACACTAGGCCTGCAAAGGCTCTGCAGAGTGACCTGCCAAGGTATTGGAGTGGCATGCCGAGCTATGGCATACGGAGACATAAATATATCGATGTGGAAGAAGATAACGGATGAGAAAGCAATAGACGACTAAATTGAGATGAGATGAAAGCTAAACGTAAGAAATACCTACTCAATTCCTGGCCACAGCGAACATTAGTCAGTGGTGAGTGGTATCTGAACCAGTCCTAGCTCACCTGCCTAACCCTTCACTAAGCCGCACTGACCGGCGTGAGTGAAATGTGGTGAAAGAAACCCCCGTGACCGACATGGTTTGAGAATGCCTTCATCCAGGGAGAAGCTCGACAAAGGGCCGCACATTATCATCATCATCATCATCGTTTTTCTAATGATGAAGCCGTGTCGACGTACATTAGGTACCCCTGTTAATGATTAATCGCATAACGACGAGCCTCCGTAGAGTATAAGTGTAGTGTATATTAGTGTATAGTGTTGTGTAAAGTGAGTGTATAGTAGTGTATAGTGTAGTGTATAGTGTTGTGTATATTAGTGTATAGTGTTATGTATAGTAGTGTATAGTGTAGTGTATGGTGTAGTGTATAGTGTAGTGTATAGTGTAGTGTATAGTAGTGTATAGTAGTGTATAGTAGTGTATAGTTGTGCATAGTTGTGTATAGTAGTGTATAGTGTAGTGTATAGTGTAGTGTATAGTGTAGTGTATATTAGTGTATAGTGTAGTGTATAGTAGTGTATATAAAACTGTACAGTAGAACACCTCATAACGACCACCCCTGTTAACGACTAATCGCTTCACAACGGCCTCCATAAAGCCCAATGTATTCGCTTACCGACCATTCCCCTGTTAACGACAGGCTGTTGTAGGTACAGTAAATATGAATTAATGCATTTATTAACCGTGTTTCTTGTAATGTTATGTGTTTATAATGTTGTTAGTATCTTTACGTATTAATATCCATTAGTTTAAATATTATAAAGTAAGTTTTCTGGATGAAAAAGGTAACTTTCGATGCTATCGAAACGAATCAAGCCTTTAACGTGTACGTCCTAAGATCGCTTAATGACCCCAAATCACTTAACGCCTGGTTTGGTGGAACCAATTACCGTCGCCAAGAGCAGGGGGTTCTACTGTATTCAAATATAAACGGCGAAGATAAATTCTGTCAATGGAGGAGGACCAACCGACTGCGCTCCCCTGGCCAGTTTGCGCACGCCATCGCGGCAGCTGCCGGCGCCCTCGCCCACGTAGGGCTGCAGGTAGACCTCGGCGCGCGACACGCCGCGGTACTGCCCCTTGTAGCACGGCCAGCCCAACTCCAGCATGGGCGTCTCCACGTCCGATTGCTCGGGGAAGTAGGTGGAGGCCAAGGAGCCCTCGCGCTCCGCCCGCACGGCCCCGTCCTCCCGCTCATGCTGCGTCCGCTCGGCGTCCTCCGCGTCGTCGTCAGCGGCAGCGGGCGGCGCCACGGCCCAGCGCAGCAGCTCCTCGATCTCGCCCTCGCCCAGGAAGCCGCGCAGGCGCTCCTTGAGCACGAAATCGTCGTAGGCGGCACGGCCCGAGCGGAGCAGGGCTTCGACGGCCTCGCGCTGTACCTCCACGTAGGTCTCTTCGGCCTCCCGCTTGGCGGCGAGCCACTGCTGCGAGCTCCACTGCTCGTCCAAACATTGCGAGCCCTCGCCAGCCATCGTTTTGTTTCTTGTCGGCGGCGGCGTTTTGCCCAACGTGTTCCCCCCCCCCCCCGGTGACTTCTTCTTGGGCACGAGTGACGCTAGTTCTGGAAAGACAAAGGGAAGAAAAGAATCGGGCATAAAGCTTGGATTCAATAATGCTGCCCAGTACGTGTCTGCACTTGGAAGTATTTTATGAGTAGAACAAAAGCTAATGAGTAGGGATCAGGGTATTTAGGATGTGGATGTATATTTGCAAATAGTAATTTAGTCATGGTTTATGTCTGCAAGTGTTTTGCAAACCTTTGATCGACTTGGTTTTCACGGTGGTAAAATCCCAATCATAAAAACCTTATACATTTTTTTAAATATTCTTATTGAAATATTATAACAAGCGTAATTGTGATCGCATGTTATAGCATGTCACAGACAGAAGGCTGGGCACAGCGATTGTATAAATCCTTTCAACCTCGGTTGTATTTATAATTGAAACATCTTTCAAAAGGTCTAGCTCGTAGAGCAGAGGTTATTTAACTTCAATTATAATCCATTTTTCCATTTTAATGTGTGAATATTGCAATTGTCTAACATTTCAAGTAAAAATATTCGTTCATAATTTCAGACCTTCACCAATCCATTGCTGCATGAAGGCCACCCCTTGCTGTGTCGGGTCATGGGGATGGTTTGACTGTAATTTACCATGCTGGTCGGTGTGAAATTACTCTCGAGTTTCGTGGAAACTGTTGGTCAAGTTATAATGGTGAAGTACTATGTGTACGTCAATCCACTGATGGATGACGGGCCACCCCCCAAGCCACGCAGATTGTGGGACTTATTTCAGCACGATTCTCCATGCTGGTCAAAGCAGGAAATTAAAGGCACGGAAGCAGACGTGGAAGATGAGTAAAGTACAGTACAGCATTGCTCACCATACAGTCACACAGCCTATAACACCTGTTATCCACAGCGGTCACACATCCTAGCACTATCCAGCACTAACCGTACTAAGCTTTCGAGATATGACAAGATCAGGCAAGTCTGGGTGAGAATAATCGTAATATTAGTAAGCATTAAAAGATGACCAATCATGGCCATTTGTCACAGCTGTATAGCAAGGTTCATTGCATTTAACGATTGAATGGGTTTAATGTATTGCTTAATTTGTTCATGTGTATGTATGTGCGCGCACACACAGTACGACACACAGAGAAGGGATGCATGTGGGGTTAAGTCTAATAAGCAGGAACCTTCATATCCTCAGCCAGAATGTAATTTAAGTCGAGAGGCTGTCCACCCACACAGTGTGGCATGAATCCAATTTGGAGATATACCGCTGTCTGCTCTATCGGACATTATTATTCACACCAGGAGTAGATGACCCACCCCAGGTGAATGCTGCCTCTCCCAAAGTACATCCATTCTTCAATATAGCGTCAACCGTTTGGAAAGTGGTTCGTGCATTTTGGTAGTTGTTTTTTTCCTGGTGCTGTACTTGAAACAATGGTCAGTGTTATAAAATCCCTCCACATTTGTACACCCAGCAACATATATTGGTACACCACAGATAGCCGATGGGCAGGTTGCATGTGGTGCGGTAAAGTGTGGGTACTCCCACTTCTTCCAATACGTAGTAGAACCAGTGTGGAAGAGCATGCCAATACAAAATTTTCTTGCGTATAAAAATGAAAATCGCAAAGCCATGCTTCCCTAAAATCTATCTACGGTACTCAATATAGAACCACGGGGCAATTGAATTGGATGGGGCAATATTCTCATTTTACAAGAAGAGCTGGGGATTGATACTACAGATGCTTATTTAATTGGATCTTTATGATTGGTGTGGTGAAAGAAATGGCCGTGATCCAGCGTTTTGGAGGGGAAGGATTAGTAGACCAGAGATTTGCAAAACTCCAAAATTCGTTTGACTACAATGTGTGGACGAGATGGCAGTACAGCAAGTGGGTTCTTAAACCCATCTGTTTATCTTTGAGCGTTTTCTCCTCATCCATGGTGGGTTATCTCCGGATCATCGGCTTTCCACTCGCGTGCGAATAAAAAAAATATGGCTCAACATCTGCATTTAAATGGATTGTACGGTGCTGCACATAGTGTACGTTTTCATGCTGATAACCAGGCGAATGCCCACTGTTCTTTGACCCTTCGTGTAATGGACACTTAGCTTAATACATACGCCACGGAAGGAGCAGTTCCGGTTTTATTTAATGTACAACGGTTTTGCCATTCTACTGCTGGATGAGGGCCTCCCAAATGCAGTGTGGGTCCGTGCGGGTTGAGCCATACTTCGCGTAGAGTAGTGGGGACATATAAGCACAGTACAACAGTGGATTTTGCTGCACTGCCCTGGCTGCTGCCCACAACAACGTTAGCACCTCAGCTGCTGTGGTAAAGTAAATCAAACCACTACGATCTGCCCGTTGTGGGGAGGCCCTCATCAAGCAGTAGAGAGTGGATATGCACTGATCACATAGTCCGAATTGCCTCTCGCCTAGGCCTCGGCAAGGTAAGGTAAAAACGAGCCTACCTTTACCCTACCTTTTACCCTTACCCCATACAAATTACCCGATTACAGGGTAATTACTGGGGTACTACACATGAAAAAGGTTTATAACAGGTAAATGCTAGGTAGAGTGCTTTATTCATATAGAATACTCTCGATTATGCCAATTTTACACGCTTTCTTTAAACTCACTGTTGTCGTTGTATCTTCAAATCTTGTAACTCAATTTTAACCCACTTCTCAATGTGGTTTCGACTGCGAACTCGGTATACTTATGTCATACTGATGACAATACTATATTCTATCATTAAAAATAAAAGAAAAATATTTTTAAACATTATTTGTTATATGTTATGTTTCGGCTTTGGTCTAATTGTCCACTGTCAACTGACGTTGGCTGTAATTGGCCACGGTCCCCTTACGTTGTGGCAAGCTTCGGGGCCACTTCCTGGAGTCGTGGAGTTCTTCCATTACTCACAGATTTCATAACAGCATGATTTAAAAAAAAAGTTGTTTAATAATTATTGCTTATTAAATGGAGGCCACAGACTGCGCCACGGAGCTCTTAGCGGTAAACAAGGCACCGTATTTACCGGGGTAATACTTCGCGCTACCTTTACCCTACCGGGTAATTCTTCCGAGCTACCTTTACCCTACCCTTTACCTTACCCCTTGGCATGTCGACACCTGTTACCATTTTACCCGGTAAAAAAGGTAAATGACCTTACCTTGCCGAGGCCTACTCTCGCCTGGCTATAAAGACGCGAATCCGTAGCTCTATAAATGTTTAAATGTGGAAACACCGGCGAAACGCAACGTCATAATAATGAAATCAGAGAGCATTTAACATTAACTTTACGGCTTTGTGGATACAATAAAAGCACTCTGGGAGCAAGCTTATCACTTGCTGTGCTTACAACCGAAACGTGGTTGTATCATAAGTTGTCATTTACCTGCCCCCCCCCCCTCTCCCAGTATTGTAATGACTGTGCTCCTATCAGAAAGTGTGCTTGCATACGCTTCCAATGTATATACTATAATTACAGTAGAGTTTAAACACGTTACTAGAGTGGAGCGGTGGCGCAGTGAGTGGCGCACTCGACTCGGATAGCTTATGCGAGTTGCAATTACTGACTGGACTTTAAATTTGTACCACGTTGTTGGAACCAAATCCGAGTGGTTAACGCAATGCGCTGATTTATCATCCAATGGCGAGCGAAATCTCAACTCCAGCGTCCTGGCCACCTCAAAGCAGACTGTTTTTGGCAAGTGCTATTAGCGATTAGCACCTATGAAGGCCGACACTGTGGTACACGAGGGGGTGGGTGGCCAACACCACGCCCGACCGCCTTTGTCTCCCCAGTGGCGATGTTTACTACACACCGCCACCAGGTACTCATTTGAGGCTAACCAGCACGATGAAGTATGGTCAACACGCAACCTCCCCCACCACCCCATAGCCGACGAGTCGGTGAGGTTCTAGATTTGAAGCTTTCGTGACTGCAAGGATCCATACTCTTTGGTTCTATTCGGTAAAGTCACGTAGGTAAAAAAAATAGAACCAAAGAGTATGAGTCGGTGAGGCTTTCATACAACAGTGGATTGAGCACACATCGTTAAAGCATAACATGCATTTATATTATTTTTATGCCGAGTGTCTGCTGCTGCTGCGTCCTGTACAGCGCTTTGAGATCCTTGATGAAAAGCGCGAAATAAATGGGATTATGATGATCGATCCACTGCTGGATGAAGGCCTCTCCCACGTCTTTAACTTGCACGGGGAATCCAACGCGGGTGAGTTCGCTCGCTCAGCGTTGGGCCGTGTTGCAGCATATATTTATATCAATGTAACATCATTACCATCATTAACATACTGTTAATAATAATGGTATTTTAAATGTAACTTTGTAAAGTTCTTACCTCTTTAGATTCCCCTCAGCGGACGGACCAGACGAGTGGTGGGAGGGCTTCGCCTCCGCCAAACTCCGCGCGGTTTAAAAAAATAAAAACCCCAAACACCGCCTCTCAATTGGCCAGGCCGCCAATCACGTGACTCGCCGGCCAACCAATCGCGAGCGTCGCCGCGGTTCAGCGCCGATTCAAACCCCCCAGCGGGAGGGGGCGGCTTCGGGTTCGAATGGCCGAGCTCTGATTGGCCGGGGTTGGGATATTGGGTGGCCAATCGGAGGGCCGCTGTTGGTATATTCAAACAGAGAGGGGGGGGGAAGTTCGTTACAATCGTGGTGGTTGGCGTGGCGACAGCCAATGGGAGAGCTGGGATGGTAGTGGGCGGGGGGCATCAGCTGTTGCCTTGCGACATCCAATATACTGCACTGGACTTTATATAATTTAAATAATAATTTATCTGTGTATTCATTTAAAATGTTTAATGATGATACTGTTAGCAGTGGTGCGCAAGCACAAATAACCAACAAAAAACCACCACCACAAAAAACTCAACGCATTCGTCAATAACACCGCGGCCTCAGAAGGAAAACTACGTAATAGCCAACGTGTTGGGCAATTACTGTGTGCAATGAAGAAGGGGGCATCGACCGAAACGTCGTAAATAGTGGGCAACTCTCACCTCTACACCAAGGTGCCTGGCCACAGTGGAAGAGTAGGCCAAACACCCTATTGCTATTGCAAGGCAGTGGAATAACTTTTTTTTGTTTTTGCACAACCACACTTACCAACTAAAATTCCTGGAAAAAGTCAGCCCTCGCTGGTTTCGACAAAGCTGTAAAAAACAAAATATTTGTTCTGAATCGGTCAATATGAAGCAATTGGTGGGACCCCGGGGTCCCATCACTGCCCCGGGGTGGGAAAAACCGCGTGGCGACACTAGTCTTGTTGCCTTACCGACAACAACAAAACTAGTGATTTAAAGCTTTCGTAACTGCAGTAATTCATATTCTTAGCTCTTTCGGTAAAGTCACGTTGAAGGGAAACAATAAAATAATACAAATATAAAATAATGAAATATATATTATTGTTTTATATTTTTTATTTTATTGTTTCCCTTCACGGTCCCGCAAAAATGATTCAATTAGCGAATGCGTGAAATGCCAAATTATTATCCAACGTATCCCTTGCGTGTGAACGCAGAAGATTCGTTTTGATGGAGGAAATGGACTTTGTCCCGTTGCAGAGCGGTGTTATATTATGCGGCGATAATACCGCCATCAAAATCACACAGTGGAAAGAAATTACTTTTAATTAAGGCCAAAAGGGCAATAATTTCTCAGCTAGTTGCCCCTGTGCTGCCACATGCCTGTTAAGATGAGAAGATGAATTCTCGCATTAAACGGGGAACAGGATCAAGGAAATCTGCTCGTGCTTTTGCCTTATTTCACCGCACCTAAGACGGATTATTTGAATATGTGTTCATAAAACATGGGCGCCCTTAACTGTGATCATGAAATAAAAAGGATTAAACATCTTCTAAGAACAATTCAATCTGTAATTCGTCAACGTAGAAATGGGATGGTTTTCACAGGTCTCGTGTCAGATGTAGGGACACTGTCAGGTCAGATCTTAAAGGTCACCTATCCACCATGCATCAACCAGGGACGCACCTCCGATTAGCACGGTTGGCTACGTGCGTTGCGACAGAAGTTCAACATACAGCACAATGCATGGGACATTGACAGGAAAAAGACTTGATATATCGAACACTAGATGTTTGCGATGAAAACTGCCGTGCATTGAAACATCTAAATGAAAACATCGATGTTTTTCCAACGTTTTTTTACCAACTGTTTCCAGGAAAGCAATGTAAATATTAAAATGGAAGAAACGTATAATTCACGATAAAATAGCAAATAATCAAAAGCCAGAAGACTTCAATTTTTTTGGGGGCGGATAAACTACTATAATTTACTGAGCATAAATGAAACATTAAAAGCACAACAAATATATACATCTAAATTAATACACGGACGATCTGCATTAACGTAACATTTAAACGGATTAAGCCTGAAACTGTGCCGAGTTTTGGCACAGTAGCAATGTCGTATGTTTTACTTTAAAAGTCTGGGGAGCTTGTCTGCTCATGCAACAGCGTAATGATTGTCTCGTTACAGGGCGTGTGGTGACTGGAAAAGCCCCCCCCCCTCCCACCAGCGGTGGCTCAATTGCCCAACCCCTGGATTGAAAGGGTGGCAGTGTGCGTTTGAGCATCGTACTAACTTGATGAATGGGTGCCACATTCCAAATACGAATTAATATGGAATTGGTGGGCACTCCAGACTTTTAAAAAAGAAGTGCTGAAACTCTCAAGAGAGGCTTTCTTGGGAAATTGAAAACGTTATTTATCCATTTATCAAAAACATCAAGTATTTTTTAAAATAAATAGCCATATGGTCTGCGTGCTTGTTGCATCTCTCCACTGGTTCCCAATCCAGATAAATTTTAAAGATAGCACTCGCCATCTTTAATATCTACCAGAGACTCATTCCTGCCCACATCTTCCCTCTTTCTCATCTCACTCTGCTCCCGTCCCTTCTCTCTCTCTGCTCCAGCAACCAAGGATTTTTTTGCGAAAGCCTTGGTTGTTGTTGACGCCCTGCCCTTTTTGAATTGCAGGAGGCTCTAGATAATCCTTTATTCCCTTGACACGACTGATATCATATATGCACTCTTTTTTGATACAGCGTCTTGAGATGCTGCCGCATTTTTTTTACGCTAACTCCAAATATTATTGTGATTGCAAGGTACTAGGAAGATAAGCCATTGTATCGATACGATACGGCAAAAAATACTACGCTGGGATGGACGTGCAGAGGACGGAGGAGGGGCCGGTTTTCGAGACCGGGATTGGATTTGTCTCCACTCGTCTGGCCACCAAGGGGAAGAGAAGACGTAAGGACGAATGGTGGGAGGCTGTTAGGGTCAGATCGTGAAGGTCGCATGTCGACTGTGCAGCAGCTGCGGGGCACGGCAGAAGGTTAGCCGCGTTGGCGAGGAGGTGTAGTGGCATGGCGCGACGGCTTTGGCCGCAGTGACGTCCTCATCTTCGACTCTCAAACTAAACTGAACCGCAGCCAAAATGGTAATTTCTGCAGGGAATTATGACTGCAGTAACGAAATGCCAGCTCGTGCAATGGGGACCGGTAAAGAACCTGACATATAATCGCTAAATTTGGTGCAAGTGTCAGCCAAAATATCACAGGTAAATATAACTAAACACCGCTGCGTTTTATATACAGCAGTACGAACAAATATTGCCGTGGGTTTGTGGCGCTATAAGCCCTGCCACCACAGTTTGATTCCCATCCACGGTTAATATCAAGCGGCGGGTGACATCTGTACGCGTTCTAAGTCCTCCTTGACTAACTCATATTGACCAGCGTGGTGAAATATGATGTTTTAATACACGCTTTTATTTAACTCACTGTTGTTGTTGTCGTTGTATCCTCAAATCTTGTAACTCAATTTTAACCCACTTCCCAATGTGGTATCGACTGCAAACTTGGTATACTTATGTCATTTATGACAATACTATATTCTATCATTACATTTTTTATTTTTAAACCATCTTTTTTATATGTTATGTTTCGGCTAGGGTCTAATTGTTCACGCTCAACTAACGTTGGCTGTAAATCACCACGGTCCCCTTACGTTGTGGCAAGCTTCGGGGCCACTTCCTGGAGTCGTGGAGTTCTGTCATTAATAGTACGGTACATTTCATTAAAGCGTGTGTTTAAAAAAAAAGTATTTTAAAATATTACTTATTTTAAAGCACAATGGCTGACAACAGGGTGAGAGGGGCGGGCGGGGGGCTTCATGCAGTGTTGGCTTGAGAAAGAGCTGAATACAATTATCACTATTTTAATTGAAAATAAAATATATTTCCATGCCTCACTTGCAAAATATTGTTCAACAACCCTCTTGAAATTATTTTAAAACTTCCGTTGTATCTCACAGGGTGAGAACTGAAGAGACCACAGATATTCTTAGCTCTTTCGGTAAAGTCACGTTGAAGGGAAACAATAAAATATATATAAAACAATAAAAAAATTCTCACGACGTTTCGACCATAACACAAACGGTCGTCATCAGGTGTGAAAAGCAACGGCAAGAAACATTTGAAAGAAGTGGCGGTTCGCATTAATTTATTTATTTTTAAACGTTGTATTTATTTAAAAAAAACCGTCAGCGCCACGCGCAGCGATTTGGCAGTTTATTTAAAAGGACGAGTCCATCTATGTTCTGAAAAGAGGAGGGGGGAGACGAAAAATTAATGTATGCTGTCTGAAAGCCACTGTAAGCGTGAACAATCAATTAAGACCTGAAATGGTTGATCAAATCCTTCCAATGATTGCTAAGCCAGAATCCATCTTCTCGGTTGAAATTGTCTCTGTGCTTGTATATGTTGATAGCCTCATGAACGAATCTCTCACGGTAGCCAGATGGCTTACAAAGAACCTCTGTCTTGGAAAAGTCAATGTCATGTGAGCCTACTGAATTATAACAATGATCTGCCACGGCCGAGGTGTTGGTCCTACCGTGTTTAAGGTCTGCTTTGTGTTCACGAATGCGGTCCGAGACATGGCGTTTGGTTTCTCCAATGTAATTACTGCTCCTCTTTTCAGAACATAGATGGACTAGTCCTTCTAAATAAACTGCCAAATCGCTGCGTGTGGCGCTGACGGTTTTTAAATAAATAGTTTTGAAATAAATAAATTAATGCAAACCGACACTTCTTTCAAATTTTTCTTGCCGTTGGTTTTTTCACACCTGATGACGGCCGTTTGTGTTATGGTCGAAACGTCGTGATAATTTTTATTGTTTTATATATATATTTTATTATTTTATTGTTTCCCTTCAACGTGACTTTACCGAAAGAGCTAAGAATATGAATTACTGCAGTCACGAAAGCTTTAAATCAAAATTTAGACCACAGATAGTTTCACCAGGATAGTTTAATCTGCAAGAGTGACCCAGGGTCCGCATTAAGGTTCGTGTATTTCTGTTTCGAAGGCCTTCAGTGATACATTCCTACAGTTGGTGCTGCCCCATGATACTACCGCGGTTGTCACTTGCTAAACCTGATAAAAAAAAACGTCTCCGATCAACCAT